CACTGATCAGCATGTTTCTGAGGGAACCTACCAACATCCAGAGAAAGAACAACTCAGAACGTGAGAGTAATTTCTGCAGCCAATACAGTGCCAGGAATAGCTCATGTTCCCACCAGCCAGAGTGGAGAACCTTATACTTCAAGGGGCAAAAGGAAGAAAGGTACTGCCTACAGCAGGCAAAATTAGCCCCATATTAAAAGCTGCTCTCGTGTCACCTTTAAAAGCTTAAACCCAAGCTTCAGAAAGATCAAACTACTTCTAAATAACTTAACTCAGTCCCAGAAAAACAGCTCAAGATTATTTACAGAAATACAAATGATCCGGAAGTCAAAAAAAGGTATGATTCTCATTGTTCAGTGGCATCCAATAAAAAACATCCAGGCAGCTAATGAGGCAGGAAAATATAATATATAATCAGAAAACTGACTCAGTTGAAATCTGCTCATAAATGACTCAGTGATAGAACTATAAACAAGAACTTTAAAAGTTGCTATATTCCATATGCTCAAGAAACTATAAGACCAAACATGTTAAGTAGACACAAAATATATAAATAAAAACGAAAGACTCAGATTGAACTTCTAGAGATAAAATCATGGTCTTATGTAAAAAATACACTGAATGAATGAAATTAGTGGCAGATTAGACACTTGAGAAAATGATTAATGAATCTGAAGACAAAGCAATATAAACTATCCTTAGATAAACACAGAGCAACAATAGCAACAACAAATTGAAGGAAAAAACCAGCAGAAAGCTGTGGGGTAAGCATAAGTGGCCTAATATCGGTATACCTGGAGTTCTCATAAGGGTGGGGGGAACACAATATCTCAATATGTAATGACCAAAAATTTTCCCAATTTTATGAAAACTATAAATTCTCAAATCCAAAAGGCTCAACAAACCACAACCAAAAGACATATTCAGAAAATTAGTCAGGGCATGAAACCAGGGATAAAACAAAAGTCTTAAAAGTAGCCAGAGTTAAAACTCACACATATTAAACACAGAAGAACAGAAGTAAGGGTGACAGTAGGCTTCCCTGCAAAAACCATGCAAACCAGGCAGTAGTGCAATGATATCATTAAACTACTGAAAGAAAAAACTGTCAACTCAAATTCTATAACCTGTAAAAACAAAAGTGAAACAGACTTCTTCAGGTATACAAAAGCCAAACTATTCATTCACAATATACCTGAACTACAATAATGTTAAAGGAAGAAAAAAATAAAAATAAAAATAAATAATGTTAAAGGAAGCACTTTAAGCAGATGGGAAATACCAATGATACCCAATGGGAAAAAAAGAAAAAAACTTAAATGGTAACTACATGGGTAAAAAATTAAAAGCCTTTCGTTGAATTATTGAATTCTTTTTAAAACACAACAGAAATAAAAGAAATCCAAATTGGAAAAGGAGATGTCAAACTATCTCTGTTCACAGATGGTATAATTACACATATAAAATATTGTAAGAAATTCACCAAAAACTATTAGATATAAACTAATATTAAGTGAATTTAGAAAAGTTGCAGGATACAAAACCAAGAGAAAAAATCAACTCTATTTCCATACACTAGTAACAAATAATCCAAAAATGAAATTAAGAATATAATTCCATTAATAATAGCATCAAGGGCTCAAGCATCAATGACTCAGTCAGTTAAGCACCTGACTCTTGATTTCAGCTCAGGTCATGATATTATGGTTTGCAAGACTGAGCCCTGTGCTGGGTGTAGAGCTGGTTTAAGATTCTCCTTCTGCCTCTGACCTTACCTCTGTTCTCCCCAAATCCCCTCAAAAAACCGCATCAAAAAGTATAAAACACTTAATCTTTATAAATAAATTTAACAAAAGCAATACAAGATATATACACTTAAAACAGCTAAACATCGCTGAAAAAAACTAAAGAACTAAATAAATGGAAAGATACCTCACATACATTATTTGAGTACTAGAAGGCTTGATATTATTAGGTTGAGATTACTCTCCAAATTTATCTAAAGATTCACTGCAGTTGCTTATCATATTTCAGGCTGACCTTAGTGCAGAAACTGCCAAGTCAATTCTATAATTCCTATGGAAATTCAAGGGACCCAGAATAGCTAAAATCTTAAAAAAAAAGAACAAACTCAGAGGACTTACATTTCCTGATTCCAAAACATAATTACAAAGAGTAACTAGCTTGGTATTGGCAGAAGGATAGAAATGTAAATCAGTGGAATAGAATTGAGAGTCCACAAAAGAAAACTTACATTTACATGGTTAGGAGATTTTCAACAAGGGTGCCAGGATGATCAAAGGGAAAAAAATAAACTTTTGAACAAATGATGCTGGGACAACTGGATATCCACATGCAACAGAATGATTTTGGGTCACTATATACAAAGAGTAAATCAAAATGGATCAAAGACTCAATGTAGTATCTCAAACAATAAAACTCTTCGACATCAAAGCACAGGAAACAAATAAAAACAAATTATAAACTGGACTTCAAAATTAAAGCTTTCATGCTTCAAAGGTCACCAATAAGAAAGTGAAAGATAATGCACAGAATGGGAGAAACTATGTGTAGATAATATATCTAATAAAGGACTTGAAGATGGAATTTATAAAGAACTCATTTAACTTCATCGGTAAGAAGACAAATAACCCAAATGAAAAGGATCTGAATGGACATTTCTCTAAAGAACATATACAAATGGCCAAGAAGCATAAAGAAATGATTACCATTAGTCATTAGGGAAATACAAATCAAAACCACAATGAGATACCACTTCATACTCACTAGGAGGGTTATAATAAAAAGAATAGCTATAAAGTAAGTGTTGGCAAGAATGAGAAGAAACTGGAATCCTCATACACTGCTGGTAGAAAGCAAAATGGTATAGCCACTTTGGCAGTTCATCCAAAGGTTAAACACAGAATTATGACATGACCCAGCAATTCTACTTGCAGGTAAATACCCAAGAGAAGTAAAAACATATGTCCATACAAAACCTTGTATGTGAATGTTCATAGCAACATTATTCATATAGCCAAAAAGCTTAACAGCCCAAAAGTCCTTCAACTGGTGAATGGATAAACAAAATATATATTCAGCCATAAAAAGTAATAAAATAATAACACATGATACAGCATAGATAAACCTTGAAATCATTATGCTAAGTGAAAGAAGCCAGCCACAAAAGGTCACATATTATAGGATTCCATTTACATGAAATGCCCAGAATAGACAAATCTACAGAGACTAAAGTAGATTAGTGGTTGCTAGGGGCTGAGATGAATAGGGAATGGGAAGCGACTGCTAATACAGAATGGAGTTTCTTTCTGGGGTGATGAAAATGTTCCAGAATTAGACTGAGGTGATGGATCCACAACTCTGTAAACATACAAAACAAAATACCCCCCAAAAACCCAATGAATTATATATTTTGAAAGAGGAAATTTTATAATATATGAATTATATATCAATCTGAAAAAAAAGACCATTGACTAAGCAAAAGAAATAACAATGTTTTGGGGGGGAACTTATAAAAGTAAAATGTATGACAATATCACAAAAGTTAGGACATGTAGACTGTTGAAAGGACCTCAAAATTATAGGTGAAGTGAAAAATATAACTTAAAATAGGCTGTGATAGGGGCACCTGGGTGGCTCAGTTGGTTAAGTGTCTGACTTTTAATTTTGGCTCAGGTCATGATCTCATGGTTCAGGAGATGGAGCCCTGCATAGGGCTCTGTGCTGACAGTATGGAGTCTGCTTGGGATTCTCTTTCCCTCCCTGTCTACCCTACCCCACTTGCACACACACTCTCTCTCTATCTCACTCAAAATAAATAAATAAACATTAAAATAATAGGCTGTGATAAGTTAAAGATATATACTATAATTCCCAAAGACGTGAAATAGCCCAACAAAGACTTACAGTTAATAAGCCAATAGACTCATACAAAAATAAGGGCTTAATCCAAAAGCAGGTAATTGTTCAGTATAAAATGTACAAACTATCATATGAGAAAACACTTTCAACTTTTAAAAAGAACTTGTAAATTCAACTACTATTCACATCCCAGTGTAAAGTGGATACAACGGGGATACAAGTAATACAAGTAGGGCTTTTGGGCTAATTCCAGGTAAATCCTATAGATTTCTAAACATGACAATCAGCAACAAACCACATACTGGAGATGTACTCAAGAACTAAACCAGGAAATGAAAAATGTTTTCTCTAAAGGGGTTTGATAGTAAATGTTTTGGCTTTGTGGGCAGACACTGTGGAAGCAACTCTAACATTATAATACAAAAGCAGCAATAATATAGAAAGAATAAGTGCGCCTGTATTCCAACGCACCTTTATTTACAAAGTAGGCAGCAAGCAAACTAGGCCTATACGTGATGCATTGCCAAACCCTGACTTACCCTCTGGTTGGGAGACAAAATGTAACAAAAAGGAAAATCATATTAACCTATCAGGTAAGAACATACAGCAAAGGAATGTATAGATACTATTACAAAGGCAAAGATGAAGGAGGAATCAATGACTGGGCTATAGTCTTTATGATATTTTTTAAAGTAAAGGAAATAATAATTAGTAGGGAAAATTTCTTTTAACTAAATTTCTTTCTTATATATAGAAGTTTATCCATCATCATCTAACAAATTCACGTGAAAAAAATCATAGAGAACAATTAATAAAAATTTGTTGTCAATTTGATTTACTAACTTCACATCTATCAGGATGTAGGTCTTTCGAGACATAACAAGATACTAAATTTTACTTAACTAAGCCTTAAGGCAAACCTAGACATTTTAGAGCAAAACCTTTGAGTGATTTACATACTTTATATTCATACCATGTAAAGCATCCTAGAATCCTCTGTACCTTCTAAGATTGCTTGTAGATTATCTAACATTCTTTCAAGGACTCTTCTATCGTTATCTATAAGTTATTGGTCAGCATTTATAAAAAGTAAGGGGAAAAAAGGAGAAATTACTGACCTGTTCATCTACTGAGTCTCCTGCACCTTCTAAAGACTCCATGGTGACTGAATCAGCAGTAACCTTGGAAGTCTTAAGTTTAACATCAGCTTTTGGACTCAACTTGTGTCTTGATCTGGTATTTCCTTCTGCAGAAATTCCTAAGGATTTCCATCAAAGAAGATACCAAAATTATACCTTATTCTCTTAAACTCACTCCCCAGTAAGCACTTCCCCAATATCCCTCCTTAAGGGACCTGACTAGGAAAACTCTTACTTTATAAACTTCATTTTAAACCTCTTAATAAATAATGAATCATGAAAAGATTATATTTTGAATACATTTAAGATTCAACTAAAATATTTTTAAAAGGTGATGTGAAAATTCATAAGTCACATTAAAACCTATAAGTCATAAGATACAATATGTACCTTAAAGTAGGGAAAATTAAAAATCCAATTTTTTCACATAATCAGAGTACCTTCAATTATTCAGTTTAATACTCATTTAGTAATAACCAGTAAGCTTTAAAGAGACTATCACATAAACCCTGTATCAAGAAGTTTTCACATTTTTCTTTGAAATATAAAATTTAGGCTATTATTTGCAATATAAAAGATAAGAATCTCTTGCTCTTTAACAGATGAATGAAGTTTTCTACAAGTTCATTTAAAGCTTACTTGCCCGACCAGCCCATAAAATAAGGCAACATTTCAAACCTTAGTAAGGTCAAACCAAGTATGTTTTTAAATTAGATTCCAATGAACTGTTTTGCCTCTAGTTATATTGGCAAAATGGTCCTATTGTTTTATTTTCTCCTAACACTTAAGAAGCAAAGAAAGCTTACCAAATTAATACAGAAAATCATACCTGGAACATATACTACTGATTGTTCTTCATCAGAAACTATGAAGAAGGACATGAAGGAAAATACTAGAAACGATCATGCAATATCCAAATGCTGCCTCTGTTCTGCACTTCTGTTATAATTCCTAATTTCTTTTGACCTGGGAATTTATAACTAGCTTTTAAAAACAAAATTAGAAAGCAATGCAATTGAAATAAATGTAGTAAACTTAATAATCTTTCGAAGTTCCTCTTTACATAGTCACACTATATGTTTTGTAAAATTTCTAGAAGGTCTTATTATAAAATTTTCATCCATGCTTATTTCTAAGTGAGATACCCTATACAATAAATTCTGCTGTTAGGTTCCTTTCATTCCTTTTCTTTTGTAAGCAACGAGTTAAATGCTCCAGTTTATTATTGGAGAATGGACAAGTTATTTTAGGCATCAATAAATAATCTAAAAATGAGCTTTAGCTCTGAAGAACAAACACTGTTTGAGGGCAAGTCAATCATGCAAACACAAAAAAATTTTATTCTTCAGCAGTGCATTCATGAAATGTCCCAAGAAGCCCTATGATTTAACAAATGGAAGAAACTGAAGACAAAAAGAACTATTCTGAATCTCAAAAGGAGAAATTTAGAAAAGCTAACATCATAATACTGCTATAGAAGAACCAAAATAGTAAGAAAGCTTTCTTTTAAGAAACAAAATTTTATTCAGAGCTATATCTAAATCCAGATAAGTCCACAATTTGATAACCTTCAATTACACTTCCAGGAAGTAAGTGTTTAAACATTTTTTTCCAAATGACCTAGAAAATTCCAGTTTTCTGTTCTTTTATAAAGTGCTTTCTTTTCCAAGATTTCTAGACTAACCAATTATTAAAAATTTCCTTCCAGGAAAAGGCTGGAGTAAAATAGTAGATTTAATAACCTGTTTAAAAAAGTCAATATATTTCAGTTCAGGATCACTCCTAGCTATGGAATCTTTTCAAGGAGTGCTGAGTGTTAAGTGCCTAGGATCCGTATAGGAATTTAGGAATACAATGAGGGTGCTACCATCTGAGGTGCCAGGTGATTTCTTAGAGCTCTCTGCAGCAGCACAAGTACTACCACAGATAGTACTACAAGATTCAGGCTGATAACTAGTGCCTCTAAACTTCAACAAATTATTTCAGACATCAGGTTTGGAGCTTAGAAAATTTTAAGGGGCACATAAGACAAGTAAACAAACAAAATCAGACCCCAATAGTCTGAGGAAAACTGATAGCAGCTAACACTGGAGCAGAGAGAAAATTTATAAATTCACCGACACCCAATCTAAAAAAGCCTTCCAAGTGAAATTATGCAGCCTCTTCAACAGCAAAAACTAAGTCATTTTTTTTATATCCCTTGGGATTAGTGCACACAGTAGGTGCTCAATAAATAATCTGCTGTTGGAGATACCCACATGGGAAAAGGTACCCAAGGGAAAAGTATTCAAGATGATTCAGGACAAGCTCCATTTGGCAGTGTCTTCAATTAGAAGACACAGTAACAATGAATTTGCAGAACATTCTCCAAAGATGACCTATGGAAAGACTAACATAACTGAACCATGGGATGCATACTACACTTCCCTAGACCATTCACAAAGAAGACTGTTCACAGCTGGAACAGACCAGCCACTGAGGGCCCCAACCCAGCTGTATCATAATTCAGAAGCTCATTAAATATCTTCTCTCAAACCTGATGCCACCCACAACATCCTTACTCTGAGCTAATAACTTTGCTTTCTACATAAGAAAAACAAACTGTAGAGATCTTTCATAAGCTTTATTTGCAGATGACATACTACATATAGAAAACCCTAAAAACTCTATCAAAAAAAACACATTAGAATAAACGAATTTGGCAAAGTTGCAAGATGCAAAATCAATATACAAAAATCTGTTGTGTTTCACAGGGCGCCTGGGTGGCTCGGTCGGTTAAGCGTCCGACTTCGGCTCAGGTCAAGATCTCAACGTTCTTGGGTTCAAGCCCCGTGTCAGGTTCTGTGCTGACAGCTAGCTCAGAGCCTGGAGCCTGTCTTCGGATTCTGTGGCTTCCTCTCTCTCTGACCCTCCCCTGCTCACGCTGTCTCTATCTCTCTCTCAAAAAAAAAAACCAAAAATTAAAAATTAAAAAAAAATCTGTTGTGTTTCTGTACATGAATAGAAACAGAAATTGAAATTAAGAGAACAACCCCATTTACAGCTGCATCAAAAAAAGAATACAATACCTAGGAACAAATTTAAACAAGGTGATGATGGACCTATACACCGAAACTGTAAGACATTAAAGAAATTGAAAACATAAAAGTTATTCCATGCTTATAAAGTGGAATAATTAATACTGTTAAAAATGTCTATACCACCCAAAGCAATCTACGAATTCAGTGCAATCTTTATCAAAATTCCAATGATGTAATTTTTCATAGGAAAAGAACAAACAATCCTAAAATTTCTATGGAACTACAAAAGGCCCTACAGAGCCAAACCAATCTTAAGAAAAACAAAGCTAGGGACATCATGCTTTATGATTTCAAACTATATTACAAAGCTGTAATAATCAAAGCAATATGGTACTGGCATAAAACCAGGCACAAAGACCCCCATGATAGCTACCCTTTTCCTGCTTTTTCTTTCTTTACATGTCACCTACAATCACTGGGCATACAATATGGTTTATTTATTCATGGCCTCATCTCATCTCACAAAAACGTAAGCACCAACTGGAGGAGAATTTTCGCCTGGTTTTGTTCAATGTTGTATCCCCTAATGTCAAATGCCCAGCTCATAGTAAACCATGTATGAAAGAATGAAAGTGATAATTAACTCTATAAGGCACTAACAACTTTTCCGTGTTGTCTTTCTCTCTTTATCCTGTAGGGGTTCAGAACTGATCACCCCAAGATCTGTTACTGTGGCGTGTGGATTATTTGACCTGAAAACAATCAAGGCCCAAAAGACTCATGAAGAATATTTGTCCCTGCCACTAAATGCCTGAAAGAATTGATATAGGACCTGATCCCAGAAGAGAGATATCACCATAAATAACTATGTATAATATAAACAAGGAGTGGTAGACAGGAAGGAATTTAGCAAAGTCTGTTTGTTAAATTCCTTTCTATGTCCCATTATTTCTATATGGCCCAAGAAACATTTGTTTACCAAACATTTATTCCTTTTCACCTTCCTGTGAATTGCTTTCCTTGCCTTTGAAGTCCCAGACATCTATTCCCTTCCCCTTTCACTTGTCTTTGGAATCTCTCACAGATATGTAGATTCCCCATAGATACATAATTAAATTTGATTTTCTCCTCTCAATCTATCTCATGTCATTTTAATTCTTAGACTAGCCAGAAGTACTTTGAAGGGTAGAGGAAAATTTCAAAATATGCAGGCACAACCCATTAGCTACATCCATGCTAAATATCTTTTCAAATATAGAAATGCTAAATAAACTAACCTTAACATGGGTTCTAAAAAATAAACATAAAAATATTTGAAATTGCCTCCATCCAACCTATCCTTTGTAATCATTGGTGATCTATCTTCATTCAAGAACCCAAATAGTTTCTTCAAATACAAAGTCTAAAAAACACACAAACACATTTTACGGGAAAGTCAAAGAGACACAATATATACTAAATGTATACTGGACCTCTTATTGGGTTCTATGTGCCACCTCAGTTCTACTGTGGCTTCTTTGGAAGTTCTTTACTAAGACAAGTACAGCAAATTTTAAAGCATCCTTAATGCTAGTACCAAACTCCAAATTCCCAGAATTAAAGCAGTAATTAGATACCAAAAGTACAAGAGAGAGGAAGGCGCCTATCTATCCCAGATCACCAAAAGCTGAAGAAAATAAACTTGGTACTTCACAGTCTAATCTAACCTTTTCTGAGTTTGACTTACCAGCAACACACATATCTCTATGTAATTATTATTGAACCAAAGGACTTTCCTGGCTAGTACATTCTCTTAACATCAACATAAAGTCTCTAGAAGTAATTGAATATTCAATTATATATAGCTATTGCAATGTGTTGGCCAAGTCCCTCACAGTTCATATTTGTTAATATCAAGTTAAAAATACTGTTAATGATAAAACACTGGAGTGTATCACCCAGTCAAATTTAGATACTGCAGAAACACTAATTTCTTTTGAGATTAGCAGGAACTATAATGAAGGAGAAAAGCAGTTTATGGCTGAAGGGGCATTTTACTTGTAGATTTAACCCATAAATTGACAACATGGGATACTCAGTGTTTACACATTAGGTATAAAGACATATCTTGTGCCAAACATTACTGCTGAATCATACTGTGCAGGACACACAGAACTCATAAGAACAACAGCAAAAAAAAAAAAAAAAGAAAAAGAAAAGAAGGTGATGTTCAGTCATAGATGATCAGTCCTCACATGACAGAAATGTCTAGGAATAGGAAATTTCTTAGTCACATTTCTCTAATTGTTTAGGCAAAACATTGAAAATCTTTCTTTTAATAGTGTGAACAGAGTACCAGGTTATACATACTTTTCGGGTTTTTTTTTTTTTTTTGGAAACTTCTATAGAAAGCCTATGAGATGGTTTAGGAAGTCAACAGTGCAGTAAAAAAAGAGATCAAGATCTAAAGACACATGACCAAACCAAATGATTCATAGCTATCCTTATGTTTTTCTAGCAAAAATTCAGTAGCAAATTTATATTTGTCTTTGCTTTTGTGTCCTATGGAGGTTTAAAATGAAAACATCTGAGGCTGGATGATAATTGGGCATTATATGGAATAGGCAGGGGAAATAGGTAATACTGGTAACCTTGCAATTCATTTCAAACATCGGAATTCCTATCAAATTTAATCACCACCATTTTCCCCATTTAATTTCTACTACTCATTTTCAATGAGAAGACGAGTATTTTACATTAATTTTCAGAGTAAGGGCGAATATAAGAGAAAAGAATATAAGACTTCTATGTGATGTAAGTAATAACAGTACTATATGAATAAGAGAACATACAGGGCTGCTTAGACCAAGAACGCAGTTTCTGTTTATCTACCTATTAATTTACTTAGTGACACAGCAATACACTGCCCTCCCCCCACCACACACACACACCATTTATACCTATCAGAACAATTCTCTTGGTCATAGAGAAAGTTAAGGAATAACCACCAAAACCACATAGGTGGTTATGAAAATGACTACACTAAAAAAAGCACCTTATAAGCTGCTAACCTTCAGATACTTCCTCTGTCACAAAATTCTATCACGGCAGACATAGTGTTTCACGAGAAAAGACTCATCCCAATTTCCTGACTTCCTAATTCAGCCCAGTTCCCAATGCACATACTCTCTTTGCATCCTTCCTGATAAGAAAAAAAAAAGATATTTAATTTGCACAGTACACTAGTGTGTTTTCATCCACAGTATATGTGTATGATTTTACTTGTCACCCACCTATCAGAGACAAGGGGTAATTATGTTTACAAAGTGCTAAACACTGAGAAAGGAATGCAAAAACATCCCTCTACACATGACACTGTAATCCTAGTTCGATAACTCAATGAGGAAAACTGATAATATAATTTTGTAAGTTTCACTGGGAGCTAAGTAGAATGTGCAGAGAATGATTCTGCCAAAAAGTTAACAACAATGCCTCAAACAATGCTATCGTCAATCTTAGCAAACAGACAAAAAGACTTGCCTCTGCAGGTATTCAGTACACGGACTGCCCTCCCTTCATGGAACACTCCTATAACGTGATGTCATTTACCAGGACCAAAGATCAGCCTGGCACAGTCTACCCAAACCCGAGAAAGAATCAGTCTGTCACACATCTCATCACAGTTATTGAACTGGGAACACCACCAGAACGGTAAAGCTCCACAGCTTCTCCACCCCAAAACAACCCGAGAACTTCAATCCTGCGGTGATTGGTGACCCACAATCCACATGAAAATCAACAGTATTTCCAGCAGCAATGATTCGCAACGTTTTTTATTCCGTAACCAGTACCACCCGACCAAGTCCAGCTCCACACCTCTCGGAAAATCCCAGCATTAAAGTAAATCATTACTGACAGGGCTTCGAAGTCAGACAAGGTCCTGACTTGCTCCTAACAACGCAGACCAAGGACAGTCCTAAACCAAGACAAGAAGGCTCCCTGTCCAGCCAACACCCTACCCCTCCTCCGCAGAGATTCAGCCGGCCAGAGGTCACCACGGTCAGAGGGACCCTCCCAGTCCCCGGCTGGGCCACGATTCTAGGCCATCTTTCCAAAGCTCACCGCCAAGGAGGGCTGGAAAACATCAGTGCTGAGTCCCCAGCCTGAAGACAGAATCAGGCTCCCGGCTACCTAACACCCAAGTCAGGGGAAAGCCCGGCACCAACACGGTGGCCGGAAAGGACGGCCCCGCCCCCAAAGATACCATCGAGCTTCGCCCCTCCACTCAGTTCCACGCGACCGCTCGCCGCACCCGGGAGGGCGCCGGCGCCCCCTGCCAGGCGGGCAAAGGATACAGTCCCGGCTCCAGAACGCCGCCGCGCCCGGGCGGGAGGGGCCCGCCACGTCCGCCATCTTGAAACAACCGCCACTCGGGGCGTCTCTCCGGGGCCGCCCCGCCCCAGCCTTCAGGCCCAGTCCCGATTGGCCGCACGGCACAGAGGCCCGCCCCCGCTTGCGCGACCTGCCCCGGCGGGGCCGGAGGGTCGGGGCGGAGGAGTCGCTGTGTGCTGGCGGCGTGCAGTGGCGCGACCGCCGGGGCCGCGGGTACGAGCGCCCCACGGAACTACTACTCCCAGAGCAGCCCGGGCCCCCCATCTCCGCCCCGCCGCGTTCTCCGGCGCCGAGCACTACAACTCCCGGCATGCCGTGAACTTGACGGCCGAGACTCCGGGGAGGTGTCCTGCCCTCCCTCCCGCCCAGGTCGCCCGCCGGGTCCCCGCTGCTGCTCCCGCCGCGCGCCGAGCCGGGACGCGAGCCATGGAGGAGACGCCGCCCCCAGGCTGCAGCAAGCCGCACCTGGAGAAGCTGACCCTGGGGATCACCCGCATTCTAGGTGAATGGGGCTGGGAGCCGTGGGGGGCGATTGCGGGGTCAGGGGATGTACACTAGAAGCAAGGAGGGGCACCGCTTCTGTAACTTCCGTTGTTAAGGAGGGGATGGGTCCAGGTGCGTGATTAGGCCAAGGGAGCGTTTGCGGGCAGGGTTCGGACGCAGGGCTGAGAAGGTTGAAGGTTCCTGCCCCCACGCCCCAACCCAGCCCCAACCCAGGGCCCGGGAAGGACGAGCAAAGGCGTGCAAAAGGGACACAGCAGGCACCTGACGGAGGGGCCGTTGGGTTTGCGGAGAGGCATTCTTGGCCAAGGAAGTATCCTTGAAACGCGAGCCCTTCCTCTGGTAGCAGAGAGCTGGGGAACTGTGCGTGCAGCCTCCCAGGGCAACAACTCCCACGCGCCTCCGGGTACCGCACCCCAAGTGGTTGGAAGGAGTCAAGGCTTGTGCCCCTGAAAGGGTTAGTTTTTCCTTTATGGAACGTTTGCCTAGCAGCCGCTAGTGTGCTAGACTCAGGGACCACAAAGACGGGTTGGGAGGGGAAGCAAAACATAGTTATGTGAAAAAGTCAACAGCACAGGTACCCCTAGAATGTGAGAGGCGGCCAGTAGTAATCTATTGTTGCTCACAAATAGCACCCAGCAGGAGGTGATTGATCTTATCCGGGGAGTTAAGGAATATGTCCTACAGATGATGCTAGATTTTGAAAGGCATATTGAAGTTAGCCAGATAACCAAGGAGAAAAAGAGCCTAAGCAGGCCGAATGACATGCTTTGATGCCTTGCCATCACATTTATAGTAAAATCCAAATTCTGTACTGTGACCCACAAGTCCGTTATGAGCTTCCCTCCTGTTTTTCTGACCTTATTTTTACTCTTGGAGGCAGTGGCCTCCTTGTATGTATCTTAAGCTCACTAAACTTGTTCCTGCTTCAAGGCCTCTTCTAGACACTCCTCTTCCCTCCCCGCCCCATCATCCCCCCAGGTATCTTCCTCTGAAAGTCTTTCCCTCACTTCATTCAAATCTCATTGAATATTAGTAACTCAGAGAGGCCTTCCCTGAATATACTTCTAACAACACCTTTCTCTATCACTGTCTTCCCTGATCCTTTATATATATTTTTTAATCCTATGCTTTATCACTACTTGGAATTACTTACTTGGTTGCTTTTTTAATTTGCCAGTCTCTTCTGTATTAGAAGTCCACGAGTTTAGGAACTCTGTCTTGTTCTCCCTGATGATCCCCAGTGTCTATGGTAAATGTGCAGGAAGTGAGACCTGAAACATCATCATATGTTTGGGAGAAATGGTGAGCTTTCGATACGAAGTTGTAGAGTTGGGCAAGGAGAGGTCTAATCACCGAGACCAACCATATCCTATCTCCTCATTAAAGAAAGTTATTTTCTTTTGATTAATGTTTAATCTATTCAAGACAGGCCAACTAAATTTCCCTTAAGCTGTCCGTTCAATTTAAAGACCTAAATAATTAAGGGACTGTCAACACTTTAAATTTCATTTATACATTTAGTATATTCTATCTATTATTAAGCATTTCAGATGTCTGGCAAACTGGTAACCTACCTAAGGAATTAAATTACTCTGGTAATTAAATTTATAGTGAAGCTGGTTTCCCATAAACATCCTAATACTATTTACAAATTTAATCAAACATCTTAATTTCAGTTAATAAACACAAGTCAAATATTAATTATATTTTTATTTTTTCACATGTGGCTTTTGTTTTAATATATTAAGAGGATTTTAAAAAACAAGCTGGCTAACGTCCGTTGTGGGTGGTGAAGGAAGCAAGCTACACCATACCAAAATCTCCCTAAAGGTTGTGTGAAATAACTCCATAACTATAGCAATTCTATCCAATTACAAACCCAACATTATCTAAAGACAGAGCATGCCTATAATGCAGAATAACTATGAGTAAAAACAAAACAACCACAAATCCCAGCACTGGTCCAGCCCCAGTCTCTCACTGCTAGAAGGCTCTGTGGCAAGCCAAGGCAGACCCAGAAATGAAGCCAGCAGAAGACGCGAGGTGGAGCAACAGAAAGATTAAAACCGCTCCAATCTGAAAGTACAACGGTAACAAAGGCTGGTAGATCAGAGCAGGGCTGCAGTAAAGTGACTTCAAAGCAGATCCTGTCTAAAGGGTTGGCCATACAATTTAAAGGGACAGTATTTCAAATGCATATATTCTAGAGGAGAGTATGTGCAAAATGAAAGAGTTTTTTGACAATTGATGATAAGTGGGCAAAGAAAAAGAAAAGCTCACATCACTCCCCCATACACAAAAAACTCGCTAAAATATCTGGACTTTGTTTCAATTGACTAGAAAACATGGTTATAGTAAACATCTTGTTAAACATCACAGTTTCACAAAATGAACAAGAGAAAAAGTAGAACCTTTAGAGAATTAATGCTGAAATCAGGAAATGAAATGCTAAACAATCAACTGAGGAAAAAAAAATTTATGATGATAAAGTATCTCATACTCAGTGGAACAAGGAGTAAGGAAATGTTACATTTGGTAACAGAGGATTATACATACAGTGTGGGAAATGATCTGCATGAGATGTAACAAGATCAATTAGAGTTGACCTTTGAACAACACAGATTTGAACCGCATAGTTCATTTACACCTGGATTTTTTATACTATAGTAGTTTAAATGCATTTTTCTATCTTATGGTTTTCTTAACATTTTCTTTTTTTTGTTTACTGTAAGAATACAGTATATAATACATATACAAAATATGTGTTAATTGACTGTTTATGTTATCAGTAAGATTTCCCATAGTAGGCTATTAGTTAAGTTTTTTAGAGTCAAAAGTTATACACAAATTTTCAACTTCATGGGAAGGGAGGGGTCAGCAACCCTAACCTCCGTGTTATTCAGAGTTCATCTGTATAATCTATATTTCTCCATCTTAAACTTTTCTCTATTTTGTAATTCTTTTCTTATCTCTTTATGTATTTATTTTCATCATAATAAGTGTACTCTTTAATCCCCATCCCAATTTCCCCCATTCCCCTATTCACTCCCCACCTGGTAACCATCAGTTATTTCTCTACAGTTAAGAATCTGTTGGTTTGCCTCTTTTTTCCCCCTTTGGCTTGCTTGTTTTTTGAATTCCACATATGAGTGAAATCACACAGCATTTGTCTTTCTCTGACAAACTTATTTTGTTCTATCTATGTTGTTGCAAATGGCATTTCATTTTTTATGGCTGAATATTCCATTAGATGCTTTATGTATAATACATATATTTATTATATATATCATGTCATCTTTATCCATTCATCAATGGATGGACACTCACTTGGGCTGTTTCCATGTCTTGGCTATTAGAAATACTGCTGCAATAAACATGGGGGTGCATGTATCCCTTTGAATTAGCATTTTTGTATTCATTGGGTAAATGCCCAGTAGTGTGATTACTGGATTACAGGGTAGTTCTGTTTTTAATTTTTCTGAGGAACACACTGTTTTCCATACTGTCTGTACCAGATTGCACTCCCCCAGACAGTGCAGGAGGGTTCCTTTTTATCCATATCCTCACCCACACCTTCTTTCTTTGTTATTGATTTTAGCCATTCTGACAGGTGTAAGGTGATTTTGCATTTCCCTGATGATAAGTAATGAGCATCTTTTCATGTGTCTCTTGGCCATTTGTATGTCTTCTCTATTTTTTAATTTTTTACTTGGTTTATTTATTTTTGAGAGAGAGAGTACTATCAGGGGAGGGGCAGAGAGAGAAGGAGATAGAATCCATGAAGCAGGCTCCAGACTCTGAACTGTTAGCATAGAGCCCGACTTGTGGTTTGAACCTGTGAACCACAAGATCATGACCTGAGCAGTTGGACACTTAACTGACTGAGCCACCCAGGCACCTCAGCCATTTGTATGTCTTCTTTAGAGAATTCTCTGTTCATGTCTTCTGCCCATGACTGGATTATTTGTTTTTTGAGTATTGAGTTATATCAGTTGTTTGTATATTTTGTTTATTAATCCTTTATCCAGTGTCATTTGCAAATATCTTTTTCTAATCTGTAGGTTGCCTTTTAGCTTTATTGATTGATTCCTTCACTGTGAAGAAACTTTTTATTTTGATGTAGTCCCAGTAGTTTGCTTTTGCTTTTATTTCCCTTACTGTAGGAGACATATCTATAAAAATGTTGCTACAGTATCTGTCAGAGAGATTACAGCCTATGCTTTCTTCAAGGATTTTTATAGTTTCAGGTCTCACATTTATTTATTTTTTTTAAAGTTTATTTATATTTGAGAGAGAGAGTACAAGTAAGAGAGGGGCAGAGAGAGAGGGAGACACAGAATCTGAAGCAGGCTCCAGGCTTCAAGCCATCAGCACAGGGTCCAATACGGGGCTCAAACCCATGAACCATGAGATCATGACCTGAGCCAAAGTTGGATACCTAATGGACTGAGCCATGCAGGCATCCACGGGTCTCACATTTAGATCTTTAATCCATTTTGAGTTTATTCTTTTGTATAGTTAAAGAAAGTGGTCTAGTTTCATTCTTTTGAATGTTGGCCAGTTTTCCCAGTACCATTTGTTGAAGAAACTGTCTTTTTTCACTATTGTATATTCATTCCTCCTTTGTCAAAGATTAATTAACTATGTAATTGTGCATTTATTTCTGGGTTTTCTGTTCTCTTTCAACTAAGGATACTTTTTCCTGAAAAACAACTATGAAGCAGAAGAAAACTACAAGTCTAAACTACAAACAGAATTAAAATACATCAACAAGCATCTGAAGATTTGAAAAACTACCCAGAATTGGACACTCAAAAACTAAGAATAGAAATAAGGGGGGAAAAGGAGGGAAAATGAAAAGAAGAGTTGAATAAGCTCATACTATAATTTGAAGGAAACAAAATTCTAAATAAAGGGTAAATTATAAGGTATCATAAGGAGACTAGATTGAAATGAATTTCGTCTGCAGCACTGAAGAAAAACAGGAAAACAAGAAAG